TGTTGCCTTGCATGGCAAAGATACCGCTGTGAAAAAAGTTTAAGAACCGCTGCTGTTGATAATGACACAGCTAGGAGTGACCAGAAGATCTGGTCAACACTATAAACTTTAGAGGAAAGGCAGGATGGATATATAATCAAACTGATGAGTTATGAGTTAGATTATCTTCATAGCACTCCGGACACATCAGATTCCCCTCTCAACATATTCATCAGAGTCGTGCGGTTAATAGTACCAGTCCTGTGTTGGTTAACAAGACTTTGTGCTTCTCATGTTTGGCTGTGCCAATCTTGTCTCCCAATTCGCATATTCTTAGAAGTGATGTGGACATGTTGCTTCCAAAATCCTCAGAACGTCCTAAGGGCAATGACAATGTCTGCGTGATCCACGAGCCGGCCATCTTCAATTAATGCAGTGCTTGCCAGTCTATCAGCTCTCTCATTACCAACAACGCCTGCATGCCCTGGGGTGAATATGCATACACAGGAGAATATTGCAATGACTCAAGCCACTGTCTGCTAATCAAACTGATACTGATGCCATTGAAATCAGAACTTTTTGCTGGTTGCTGAAGATGAGGATAGAGCGCTCATGGGAATGCCCTGAGTTCTATGATGTCAGTTCTTGGCTCAGCACTCATTTGATTTCTCTCTCTATAAACAACAGTAGTAATCTCAGTGGCAAAGTCGACAAGCCATTTGCCTCATTCTACAAAGATCATGGGTTAATTTCACTCATGCCCATCAGTTTACAAATGCTGTTTTTATGGAGATCCCTGGGGATTAATGCTTGAGCTACAGAGTTCATGCTTTGTGCAATACTGTCAGCAGGTTGTCTAGCCATCTGCAGAGAGAAAGAGGGACCCATATAGGATAAAACCCGGTGCAATGAAGTTGATTCTCTCAACTTTAACTTTTGACTTTGTAAACAACAGTCTTTATTTTGTCCAACTGCTTAGGCCGTAAAGTGGCACACAGAGGAGTCAGATGTAGTTTCCTATCTTTTGCTAACGTTAATCTCCCCAAGCTCCGCCTATATACATACCAGGTCACTTCTGATTGGTCGTTCCTGAGCCCATTGACCTTCACACAAGCTCAGAGGGGTGTTCCGCAATTCCGTTGATATCACATGTTGTATATTTCAGAACGCCAGTGCTTTTAACGCTAAAATATGGAGCAACTGACCCTAACACAAACCCCTTAGAGAGTGCTGCAACCTATGTCACAGGCATTCTCTTTCTTGCAATGAAAAGGTAAATACAAGACAAAACAGAAAGCAAACAGAGTGGAACACACCCATAACCTTCAGGAAAGTCGACCAGCCCAACACAAACTTGTGAATGAAAAGTAACCTACTCTGTTTGGGGAGATTAACGTGAACCTAACCCTTGCTAAACCTCTGCAGGCCGTCAGTTGAATAGCCCTGGTATTGAACATCCAACACTTAGTCACGAAATGTGGTATTTTTTTTTGCATTGGCGCCTGCAAACTTCACAGTGTGAGGCATATGGCATGACCATTTTATCACAGTGACCCCCTGTCATTGTACCAAGGATACCCAAATGTCAAGTCTACTTTCATCATGGTCAATAAATGCTGCCATCATCATTATCACATACAAATTCATTACAATAATCATGAAATAAAAATGACATGTGTCATCCAAATATGAAAACAAAAGTGTTGTCTTATTATGTAGCCCCAAGTCTTATACTGCAATCCCCTGTCTTATTCTATAATCCTACTTTTTTCTGTATTCTTCGGTCTTATTCTGCAATCCCATGCCTCATTCTGCAATCCCTGTCTTGTAAAATCCCCTGTCTTATCTATCTTGTCTTACTCTGTTATTCCCCTATCTTATTCTTTAATCTCATATATTATTCTTTAATCATCTGTCTTATTCTGTAATCCCATGTCTTATTAGGTCATTCCCATCATATTCTTTAATCCCAGGCATTATTCTGTAATCCCAGGAATTGTTCTGTAATCCCAGGCATTGTTCTGTAATCCCATGCATTGTTCTGTAATCCCATGCATTGTTTTGTAATCCCAGGCATTGTTCTGTAATCCCAGGCATTGTTCTGTAATCCCATGCATTGTTTTGTAATCCCAGGAATTGTTCTGTAATCCCAGGCATTGTTCTGTAATCCCAGGCATTGTTCTGTAATCCCAGGCATTGTTCTGTAATCCCAGGCATTGTTTTGTAATCCCAGGCATTGCTCTGTAATTCCAGGCATTGTTCTGTAATCCCAGGTATTATTCTGTAATCCCAGGCATTGTTCTGTAATCCCAGGCATTGTTCTGTAATTACAGGCATTGCTCTGTAATCCCAGGCATTGTTTTGTAATCCCAGGCTTTGTTTTGTAATCCCAGTCATTGTTCTGTAATTCCAGGCATTGTTTTGTAATCCCAGGTATTATTCTGTAATTCCAGGCATTGTTTTGTAATCCCAGGTATTATTCTGTAATTCCAGGCATTGTTCTGTAATTCCAGGCATTGCTCTGTAATCCCATGCATTGTTCTGTAATCCCAGGCATTGTTTTGTAATCCCAGGCATTGTTTTGTAATCCCAGGCATTGCTCTGTAATTCCAGGTATTATTCTGTAATCCCAGGCATTGTTCTGTAATCCCAGGCATTGCTCTTTAATCCCAGGTATTATTCTGTAATCCCAGGCATTGTTCTGTAATCCCAGGTATTATTCTGCAATCCCAGGCATTGTTCTGTAATCCCAGGTATTATTCTGTAATCCCAGGTATTATTCTGTAATCCCAGGCATTGTTCTGTAATCCCAGGTATTATTCTGTAATCCCAGGCATTGTTCTGTAATCCCAGGTATTATTCTGTAATCCCAGGCATTGTTCTGTAATTACAGGCATTATTCAGTAATCCCATGCAATATTCTGTAATCACAGGTATTATTCTGTAAAATCAGATATTATTCTTTAATCCCAGGTATTATTCTGTAATCCCAGGCATTATTCTGTTATCCCATCTTATTCTGTAATCCCCATCTTATTCTACAATCCACTGATTATATAATCTCCTGCCTTATTTTGTTTTCATATCTTATTCTGTAATCCTGTATCTTATTCTGCAATCCTGTCTTATTCTGTACCCCCCATCCTATTATATAATCTCCTTTCTTATTCTTTAATCTTGTAAATTATTCTTTCATACTGTGTCTTTTTCTGTAATTTCACATATTATTCTGTAATCCCCTGTCCTTTTATCTTATTCTGAAATGCCCTTGTTTTATTTTGTAGTACCCGGCTGGCTACATATTAATTTATATCTTAGATTACATGTGATACTTTAACTGTCATGTCTGTTACCTGTGATGATAATTATAAAATTTTCTACTTTAACTGTGATACATTAACATAAATGTCCATATTACTGTGATACATTAAAACAAATGTCTTGACTCCCAGGTGGACCCAGCCTTGAGTGGGTACCAGTTGCAGTCCTGGGAAATAAAGGCGGCCAGCGTGATGGTGACCACATCACCCCCCCCCCCTCCCCCCCAAGTGCCGCTTGGTCTATAAAAATATAGGTCTAGCCCTTAATTCCCAAAATGCCTAAACGCGTGGAAAGGGTCCTTTATTTTTTTATCCAAGGATGCAACTGCATGGAGCCCATTTAGATCATGGACGTAGAATTGTTGACGCCTTTCAGTCGATACATCCGACTTCTTCAGGCATTTGTTTTCCAGGTAAACCTTTCAGGCATAAATATGTGTATGATTCCAACTCTCATAGATACACTTATAGAAAAGTATAAATAATAAAAAGTTATAAAATTTAACAAATAAATGATCTATCAAGAAATTTTAAACATATGCAAAAAAGGATTTATTTTTCTGCTATCATCCTGAAATGGATGACTGAATTCTGACCATTAAGAAAAAAGACATAAAATTTACACCTTTCGGCTAACATGCCCAACTTCAACATAGCAAATCTGAGGAAGTTTGCCTTTTCTTTGAATTCATCATTCTCTACTAGTGATGTAGCTTCCTTCCAGACCCATTCTATAGTCTTTTCTAGCTCACATCTTCTTCTTTTCTTCCACCATGTATCATAGTGAAGTGTCGGGGAGGAGATGTAATGTTCATTATTGAGCTTTGTCAAGTGCACTATTAAGACTGATGTTCATTTCTGTATGGCTGTTCTTAATGCCATCACTCCCATCTTTTCCGAGGTCTTCCACTCCTCTAATTCACTGACCCTGATGTAAGAACAGTTCATGTAATTTCTGTTTAACCCGAACATAATTAGGTTTGGTCAGTTCTAGTTCAATGACTCTCTCTGAAAAGTTAACCTGTCAGCCATTACCCCAGTAATCATGCTGCATTTTGGGGCCCACCGAAACAACGCTCCCATAAGGTTTCACAGCAGATATCCGAGAGGAATATAATTACTATGGGGGGAACAAAAATCATGAATATATGAGAAGAGATAAAGATGTCAGTTTGGCATCATGGTACTAGAAAAACACCTCAATGATTCACAGTACAGAAGGCCATGGACAGACATAATGACTAATGACAGTCAGTATGGGCTGTAAGATGAATCAGATCGTATCACTGACAATATAGCACATAGAAAGGTCGTGGGTTCGGGTCATGACAGAATCAAGCTTTCTTAAAAAATGACCATGGCTCCCAGTTTGACCCAGCCTTGAGTGGGTACCAGGTGTTGTCCTTGGAAGTAAAGGCGGCTGGCGTGATGTTGATCACATCACCCATAAAGTGCCAATTGGTCGATAAAATATAGGTCTAGTCGTACATGCCCAAAACGCCCGAAGGTGGGGAAAAAGGTCCTTTATTTTAGTTTTTTAATACAGAGAATATACAGCTGTAGATCTGAAAGTCAGTCTTAAAAAAGGCTTTATGTACAACAATTTCTCCAATCTTTCTTCCTTTTTCCCCGGTTATGCCTTTCAGTACCAGGTTAAGCAGAGGTATACATATCTTCAAAAGATGTCAAGCATACAATGAGTTAAACAGTAGTATACTTCTGTGCTAGCTCATCCAGTTTGGAAATTAACTCCTGCTCTTCTGCGGGGGATGATTTGGTCCAGGCTAAGGGGAGATGAGTTGAGACAGGTGTACGATCTGTGGAGTGGACATAGTGATATTCATCTATGAATTCCATCTCTGATGATAGACTGCAGCAGAATTTTGAAAACATAAAATAGCTAAACAAACTGATAAAGATCATGTACATATATCTTATATGACACACAACTAAACAAACAACATGGGTAGAAATGATCTTTTGGAACACGTAAAGTTATCTCCCCATGCCCCACCCACATACACACTAGCTCACTTCTGACTGGTAGTTCCTGAACCTGTCACCTTGGCACAAAGTTACGGGGGTGTTCCGCAATGCAGTTGATATCGTGTGTTGTATATTTCAGCATGCCAGCGCTTTTAACACTCCAAACACATGGAGAAACTGGCCCTAACACAATTCCCTTAGAAAGTGCTGCAACCTATGTCACAGGCATTCTCTTTCTCGGAATAAAAGCAAACAACAGAGTAGGACACACCTGTAACCTTCAGTACCAGGAAAGTCGACCAGCCCAACAAACTTGTGAATAAAAAGTGATACATGAAATGTGGAGAAAGCAGAAGAAGCCTAACAGGCAGAATGACCTTCTTTTACCTAAAGAAGTCACTAGAACTGGCACCTAGATGGAATGTTAGAACTGGCACTAGATGGAATGTTAGAACTGGCACTAGATGGAATGTTAGAACTGGCACTAGATGGAATGTTAGAACTGGCACTAGATGGAATGTTAGAACTGGCACCTAGATGGAATGTTAGAACTGGCACCTAGATGGAATGTTAGAACTGGTACCTAGATAGAATGTTAGAACTGGCACCTAGATGGAATGTTAGAACTGGCACCTAGATGGAATGTTAGAACTGGCACCTAGATGGAATGTTAGAACTGGCACCTAGATGAAATGTTATAACTGGTACCTAGATGGAATGTTAGATCTGGCACCTAGATAGAATGTTAGAACTGGCACCTAGATGGAATGTTAGAACTGGCACCTAGATGGAATGTTAGAACTGGCACCTAGATGGAATGTTAGAACTGGTACTAGATAGAATGTTAGAACTGGCACCTAGATGGAATGTTAGAACTGGCACCTAGATGGAATGTTAGAACTGGCACCTAGATGGAATGTTAGAACTGGCACCTAGATGGAATGTTAGAACTGGCACCTAGATGGAATGTTAGAACTGGCACCTAGATGGAATGTTAGAACTGGTACCTAGATAGAATGTTAGAACTGGCACCTAGATGGAATGTTAGAACTGGTACCTAGATAGAATGTTAGAACTGGCACCTAGATGGAATGTTAGAACTGGCACCTAGATGGAATGTTAGAACTGGCACCTAGATGGAATGTTAGAACTGGCACCTAGATGGAATGTTAGAACTGGCACCTAGATGGAATGTTAGATCTGGCACCTAGATAGAATGTTAGAACTGGCACCTAGATGGAATGTTAGAACTGGCACCTAGATGGAATGTTAGATCTGGCACCTAGATGGAATGTCAGAACTGGCACCTAGATGGAATGTTAGAACTGGCACCTAGATGGAATGTTAGAACTGGCACCTAGATGGAATGTTAGAAGTGGCACCTAGATAGAATGTTAGATCTGGCACCTAGATGGAATGTTAGAACTGGCACCTAGATGGAATGTTAGAACTGGCACCTAGATGGAATGTTAGAACTGGCACCTAGATGGAATGTTAGAACTGGCACCTAGATGGAATGTTAGAACTGGCACCTAGATGGAATGTTAGAACTGGCACCTAGATGGAATGTTAGAACTGGCACCTAGATGGAATGTTAGAACTGGCACCTAGATGGAATGTTAGATCTGGCACCTAGATGGAATGTTAGAACTGGCACCTAGATGGAATGTTAGATCTGGCACCTAGATAGAATGTTAGAACTGGCACCTAGATGGAATGTTAAAACTGGCACCTAGATGGAATGTTAGATCTGGCACCTAGATGGAATGTCAGAACTGGCACCTAGATGGAATGTTAGAACTGGCACCTAGATGGAATGTTAGAACTGGCACCTAGATGGAATGTTAGAACTGGCACCTAGATAGAATGTTAGATCTGGCACCTAGATGGAATGTTAGAACTGGCACCTAGATGGAATGTTTGAACTGTGTATGAACTAAGACAAACAACAACAGCAGTCAAGTAAGTAAAAGACCCATTTCATGGCTTTAGTGCATCTGGTATTTGTGCTAGACCTATTGTTTGCCCCTGCTGATAAACTCCCCATGGGGGACGAGGGCAGCATCATGCCGGCTGCAGCTACTTTCCAAGACATTTCCAGGCACTCATTTTAGCTTGGGTCGACTTGGGAGCCAAGCTTCATTTGAAAAAAAAAAAAAAATCAGTCTATGTAGTTTTGAACCCAAGACCTTCCAGTCAGCATCCAAGCATCTAGTCACTATGCTACCATGTACCCCCCTCCCCCTTTTTTGGGTGTTCACCATTAAGGATGATTAACAATGTATTAAGTTTATAGCACGGCTGCAATATCTGTTCTTTTCAGTCCAGCACATCCAGTTTCCAGTAAACATTCAACAGTTTACGACATGCTTGTTAAAGGATATTATATATTAATAAAGTAACAACAAATGTACTGATCGGCACTCATAGAAAGAAGTAGAAAGACAGAAGAACACTCTAGACATCATAAAGCTAAAGTTATCATGCTGGGAATCTAACCTGTTACCTCCAGACAGCATGTGCGCCTTGCTTTGGAAACAAGTGCACTAAGAACATGGTCAACTAGGCACTCCCTCAAAAGAGGGTCTCATTGGTCATGTCTATACAGCTTGTTTATTTATTGTTAAAGAGTAGCAGGTCAATTCTTTGTTTTCCCTAAAACAGAGTCCCAGAAAACACATGGGAATCACATGATACCTTGAAAAAAGAGCCCACTGCCATGTTTGGTAGCGGCTGGAGAAACAGCCAACCAAATCACTGTGTCTGCTCCTTGTTCTTCACTTCGCAATTTGTCTTTCATTTTTTCATAAAACTGTGGCAATGATGTCTGGACTCCTGAAACAAAAATGTGTATTTCTGTTGGGTTTGTTGTTATTGTTGACTAGATTTGACTAGAACTGTTGATTCATTACAAATATTTTTTTCTTCAGAAATGATTAATTTGTTGATTCTATTAACACTTTTTTCTACAGATCTGCTTAACTTGTTGGTTCTTTACAATTTTTTGTTTCTTCAGATCTGAAAACACAATGAACCAACGAACGAACGAACAAACAAACTTATTTCCAAAGGGTTACAAATTGGGCACGCAAGCCCGTCTGACAATCGGCCCTTCTAAGTACTCATTTTTCAGAGTACCAATGTCTGTTATCAATAATGCATGTTTTGGATATAATAAAGAAATATAAATTATAGAATAATGCATACACACATCATGTGTACACAATCGTACACACTCACGCACAAGTATACATACTCCTACGTTCTCATACATGCACACTCATATACAGACATATGTAATACACACACACATACATCTAAATACATACACAAACATAAAACTCATACACATACATAGACTGAGGCAGAGGAAGACCTAGAACAAATGGATCAAAGGAGTAATTGACAGCCTAAGGCTTCACAGCAACACAGCATATCAAGGAAATAAGCAGGCCCTGGCTTGGCTACTGACAATCTAACTATGATGCCTAGCCGGACAAAGCTGATCAAGACACACAAAAATTGTAGCTCGCCAGTAAATGACTTTGTCACCTGTCAGGGCAGTAGTTGGGTCTGTTTCTGGAGATCGCATCAAATCAACACTTCAAGAGAGCTTCTTGGTGGTGAGCAATGCTAAACCGTTTTATAGGGTGCACATAACCATAGTCACAATTATAACCTAAAGCTTCCCCTGTGAGGACGCTCGTTGAACCTGACAATTTTCTTTTAGCAACGCCAGCCAAATCGTGACAAAAGAAAGAATAAGAATAGCCTTACCTGGTGTGTCTACCCATCCTGGATGCATACTGGAAAAGTGGATTTCTGGATACAATTTGGCATATAAGGAAGTTAAAACAACTTCCTGTCGTTTAGTCTGAGAATATGCCAAGGTGCCATCAAACTTGGTCATGCGCTCGAACTGTAGGTCCTTTACATCAAGCTTTTGAACCAGCATGCCACCCGATGAGACTGTTATCTGAGAGAAGAGAGGAATGGGCAAAAATCTATGAGAATAAATATGTCCACAGGGTATACAATCACGCAGCAAGGAATGAAAGAAAAGGGGACAGAGAGGCATATGGTTTGAAGGGAATGAAAATGTTTAAGTGTGCATTAAAAAAAAACACACACAAGGATACGTTAATGAAGGTACAGTTAGGACAACAAGGAATGAGAGAAGAAATGTTTGAGAAGGCATAAGGTCAGGGAATGAGAGAAAAAATGTACATTGCATCCACCCTGTGTGTATCTCCTAAACCACTTGTGTTTATCTCCTATACGCACCTGCTTTTGAGAATAAAACACCACTTCTACACCTACTTATTAGAATAAAACACCACGCCTACACTTGTTTTTGAGAATAAAACACCACTTCTACACCTACTTATTAGAATAAAACACCACGCCTACACTTGTTTTTGAGAATAAAACACCACTTCTACACCTACTTATTAGAATAAAACACCACGCCTACACTTGTTTTTGAGAATAAAACATCTCATCTACATCTGCTTATGAGAATAAAACACCATGCCTACACTTGTTTTTGAGAATAAAACATCACATCTACACCTACTTATTAGAATAAAACACCATGCCTACACTTGTTTTTGAGAATAAAACATCTCATCTACATCTGCTTATGAGAATAAAACACCACTCCTACACCTGCTTATGAGAATAAAACACCAATTGTACACCTATTTATTAGAATATAAAACCATGTCTACACGTGTTTATGAGAATAAAACATACTTCTACACCTGCTTATGAGAATAAAACACCACTTCTACATCTTATGAGACAAAAAAACACCCCTTCTACACCTGCTTATGAAGCAAAAACAGAAATTTTACAACTGCCTATAAGACCCCCCAAAAAACACAACTAATATATCTACTTATGAGACAAAATGACAATTAACGATGACTGGACTCACAACTCGAGGGTCCTCTGCATTCTTCAGGACAGGTATCAGCCCCTTAGTCAACATATGTACTCCGAGAGTATTCGTGGCAAATGTTGTTTCCAGTCCGTCTTCAGTTACCTGCCGCTGGTCACCATTTACAAGTACTCCTGCATTATTGATCTATAAACAAGTAACAACTCTTTTAGTGCCATGTAACTGTCAGGCTACAGTAACAAATGACTGGATGAAAACTGAGTGGAATATACTTGGTTTAAGTTACACATGTACTGAACACAAGAGGAGTTCCCCATGTGGGGCTCTCAGATCAAATTTGGTTTGGGAGGGATGGGGTGGACCCATCCACACCCCCTTTCCCCCAACCAGAATATCGTAAAAGGCAACATATTATGGGTTTGCTGAAATAGGATATGCTGGTGGCCGGTGTTCGAAACCAGCCGGTTCCCAGGGTTCACCCAGCCTCTAGGAAATGGGTACCAGAGTTAACACTCTGGGGTAAATGGAGTAACATCGCTGTAGTTACAGAGTTTCGTGCGAACAGCGACACAGGCCGACAGTTTCTTATCAGCTGTCCGTACTGGTGGCAGAGCACTTATGACTTATAACCATGTGCAATGACGCTGATTCACATCTTCCAACTTTCCCTTTACCTTAGGATGTGCTGGGTCCAAAAGTCCAAATACCATAATTTAGCTATAACCTGTAGAACCACATTCCAACCACTCTTTCAAGTCTAAATGCAGAAGAAGAAAAGAACAAGAGGAGTCAAAGTATTGGCTCAGAAAGAGTGGGCTTGTTTAAGAGTTTGTTGGGACAAACAGAGTAAAAAAAAACATGAATGAGGTAAAGGATAGGACATACTAGAATATCTTTGCATTGGAACCCACAGGGACATAGGTATAAAGGAAGACCAAAAGCACATGGAGAAGGGAGCTAGAGAGTCAAGTTAAAAAGATGGGGAGGATATGGGCAGAGCTGCATGCGATAGCCAAGGATAGAATGACTTGGCGTGAGTTGGTTGAGGGCCTATGCTCTAGTGGGGGTAAGAAAGGCAGAATAAGATGAATGAGGTAAAGAGAAGCTAATAAAACATATTGTGTGTTTCTTTTATTATCATCATCATCATAATCATCTTGATACATAATTAGTCATCGCATTTGTGAATAGGACCAGCTGGCCGAGTCGTTGGAGCCCTGGGCTCACATTTTGGAGACCCTGTGTTCAGCCATGGGTGAGAAATGGAGATTTTATTTTTTTGGTCAGGGGCAAATTTAAAAAAAAAAAATCCTAACCTGCACAGTTCATGGCTACTGCACTAGCCACACAGTATTTAGTCCTCAGACTAAAAATCCCCCCCCCCCCCCAATCCTACACCACCCTGAAAGTGGTAAATACTGGTGGTAAAGAAAGAGTTTGTTTTAAAATTATGTGAATATATTATGTTTCCCAATTAGTTGTTTGTGGAACCAGTTTCAGTGGTCTGTGATATCAATTACACAAACACCACCCTAAAAGTGGTAATTACTGGCAGTAAAGAGTTCTTTTAGAAGTTTAAAACCAAAAAATTATGTGAATAGATCAGTGTTTCCCAGCTGGTGGTTCACGGAACAAATTCGAGCGGTCTGTGATATTATTTACACACACACACATACACCCAACAACACACCCACCCATTCACACAACAATATATATTAAAAAAAAACAAAAAACACTCAAATACAAATTATTCTCCCCGCACCCCCTGTAAAAAAAAAAAATATGAATCTCAAAGAGTATGAGGTCCGTTACAGACCTTCGAAAATAAGAAGGGTTCAAGGGTATTAATTATTTAACTGGAAACCATTGGAATAGGAAGTAATGTAATTTTCAATAGAGTTGTTTTAAAGGCAGAGAGGTAACTATTTGTAGAAGACATTCCAAGTATTTGTGGTGACTTAAAATTAGGGCTGTACCGAATAGTGATTTTCACTATTCGGCCGAATACGAATAGCTGGACCAACTATTCGGCCGAATATGAATACGAATAGTGAATCATCACCATCATCATGTGCTTTGCCGGCTGGCATGGGCGATTATGCCTCGCCACAATCTGCGATCTCCAGCAGCACGTATTAGTTCGTGTGCTGACACACCTCCATGAAAAACCTTTGTTCCATGTTGTCAGCATTAGGCCAGCTTTTTGTCTCACTGAAGGTATTTCCAGCTGTACTAAACAGGAAAATACGACAAATACAGAGAGTCAAAATGAAAACCCGCAAGGCGAAACATCAAAAACAAAAATAACGCCAACGAAGAAAACAATGCCGTCCTTACAAGTCGCCCAGCCCCCCGGAAGCTCACGAAACCAGACGCCGGGCAGCCAACACCAGAAGATCAAACAACAAAGACAATCAAGAAACCGAACGTTGATCAAAACATTCAGCCTCTGCCGTTTCCACGAGACGACGAAAGAACAGATACGACACCCATAAATGATGACGAACTCCCGTTACTTCAAAGAATCAACGAAGAGGACACTCCACTCAAAGAAATCAAGCCGACAACACTAGAACACTTGCTTTTCTGCCCCTCTTACATTTTTAAGTGTTGCACTTTGTTTCTACAGCAACACACCTAAAACACTATACTCGCAACACATGCAAGATGGAAATAAAGGGGCACTTGGTACGCTCGTAGGTGGTGAACAAAGATAACGCTTCACAGGATAAACCAAGGTGGGAAGTCTTGATGTTTTTTTTCCACCAGTCCAGAAATGGTTGTGAGGTAACCACTATTCGTATTCGGCCCGACCGCAACTATTCGGCCGAATACCGAATAGTTATTGGGTCCACTATTCGGCCCCGAAGCGAATACGAAGCAAATATTCGGTACAGCCCTACTTAAAATATAGCCATATGTGATGAGCTAGTCTGGACTACTGTTTCTTATTTATTAATTATTGCTTTATAATAGCAATATTTTAAATTTCTTAATTATAAAGAGAAAAAAGTGACCAAGAATTTGAATGATCAACTCAGAGTTATTCCCCCTTGAAAGCCCTCCTCACATCCTTTTCAAATCAGACACATAGTGAGGTTGCACAGATTTCTATCACCTGATATGACTCAGTATACCGCAGTAGGTGGTCACAACTGAAGTCACCATTGTGTGTTCGAAATCCCTACCAGGGGGTGAGTAAACAATTGTTATTCTATTGTGACTTATTGCTGCCAATTCCTGTGAATTCCTATTATCTGCTGGATTCGATCAACGTGCTGCCAACATTTGGAAGAAATCTTGATGAATTTCTTTGTTTCCCTACTAACCACTTTTATGCTCTAGTATGTACATGTATGTAAACATATTATATATTGGTTCTAATCACATTAAGGGACCCACAATGAGAGTGAGTTCCCTTTCCATTGATGCCTCGCTCTTGTGTAGGGCCAGTTCTATGTTAGAGGGTCACACAACTGTATGCAGCATATAATAGAGGATGCATACAGTTGTGAGACTAGGCTGAGGTTGTGGGGGGTTAGGGTTAGGCCCAGTTGTATATGTTTTTAGACCGTTAAAAGCTTTTATAGTATAGAAGACGTGATATCACTGGCCACTGACAACAAGCAGTAAAATATAACTCACTCCACCTGAAACCCCTGCGCCATAGTACAGGAGCTATACCAGAACGATGCATCAATGGGAAGGGAGGTCGCTGTGGGTCTCTTATCGTGGCACATTTAATTATACTAGAAACGTGGATTGGTCTATTTAATTATTAAACTTAAATTTAATAATTAATAGTTGACGCCCTCATGTGAAATCTCAGGCCAATTTTGATTTCCAGCATGGTGAGATTTGATTAATGAACGATGCAGGTTTATATTCATCATACCTAATTCTTACTAGTTTTTTTTTAACCTCATGGTAATTTTAGTTTTTTAAATCATGGTCTAGATTTAATTTAGATTTAGTCCAGAGAATTCTGAGACTAATTTAAGAGCTCGAGAAGGGAATATCACGTACGTGGTGACTGAATTTATTAGAATCACACTGTCAGAGAAGAAGAAGGGAGGTTTGGGGCCCATGCTTGTAATAATTATTGTTATATAATTCCCCATTACTATAAATACATTTTAAGTAACACTGCGTGTGGCCCTATTATTAAAATAATTATAGTTCACCTGTACCAGCTTGTTAACTCTAAAAAATAAGATTTAGCGAAGGTATTCATTCAAAGTTAAACTGCAGTTAGTGTTGAATATTTTATGTTACTAATGTGAAAAAAAAGTAAAAGACCTATTTCCACATCTTTAGGCATATAGGGCATATAGGGCTAGACCAATCGGCACAAGATGGGTGATGTGGTCAGCATCACGCCGCCAGCCTTTACTTCCCGGGACTGCACCCCATACCCCTCAAGGCTGGGTCGACCTGGAAGCTAAGGTTATCTTTGAAAAAGTCTGGCTCCACCAGGGAGAGAACCTTTTACCTTCCGATCCACAGTGAGCATCTAGCCGCTTCACCACAGCGACTCCCAGAAACTGAGGAGGGTGAAAAATGTCTCCCATCATCTTACATCATGAGTATCGATTCTGTTCAGTAAATACCTTTCTAAACCCAACCTAAAAATGAGAACAAATGTTACTACCCTACTCCATATGTGTGTGTAGTGTAAACAATATGTGAGGAACAAAGGCAGTGTCTGAACTTTCCCAACCGCTTCTACAGGGTCTGTTCAATTACTCTTCCAGGTGAAGTTCCAGCTGAAGTTCCAGTGTAGCTGCAGGTGTCAGATTGTCCAGACTGGACTAGAAGATTCGACTTGCTTGAGGTGTCACCAAGGCTGAGCCAGAAGCTGACCCAAAGAACACAAACTACAGATGAGTGGACATATCGGTTTAATGTAAATCTGGGACCATTTCTATCTCCCCAGCCAGTCTAATGATTAGTTCACTTTTCCAATTAAATGTTATAGTTGTTAAGGTTTCTTCCTGTTTTGTGAAATTCATTTTAACTGCAATCATTGTATATCGGTGAGCAATAGCCAGTGTAATAAAATATACCATTTATATACCGGTAGTGAATCAGATGTGGGCAAACCCCAAACCTCTCCTTTAACCAGCAAGGCTGGGAGATAGATCAGATCTTTTAGGATGTTTCACTGTTTAAGATTCCCTCTGGATATTATCGACTTGTGAGGTCTGTCTTAATATTTGGGCAGTAGTATTGAAGTCAAACTCATAACAGCAGTATTTTCTATGTCAGTCATTTGCTGTCTTGTACAGAACAGAAGAGGAATTATGTTATACTGCCAATTATGTTATACTGCCTTCTGTAGACTGCACATACTGCATTCGCAATAACAAAATGAATTCCATGCCACATCATAAGCCAACTTAATACAACAATGTGCCAAGCCTGTGACTTAAGAGTGATTGTCCCTGTGGTTTATTAAATACACGGCCAAGGGACATGACATATTTAGTTTGCAAGGGATATCTCCAGCAAAATGTAACTTAAGGTGATTTTCGGTTAATATGCAGAAGCAGCCTCTTTAGAAAATATGACTGTTTTTGTGAAGACTTTAGCCAGAATTATACCTGTAAGTTTAACCCATCTGCACGTCTGTATGTATTTAGGAGAAGTCAGCACGATTACAATTTTTTCGACAAACACAGGGATTCTGTGTTTTATATTATAGATATCACTTATTCCCTTTTCTAAGCAATTTTTTATTCCAAAAATGTTGTTGGTCCTGTAGGTTCCAATACAAGAACATTGTAATATATTATTATCAGGTTTTCTCTAGATATGTCCTATCCACTGCCTGTATCTCTTCCTCAGGAAAATTAGGTTCTCTCCCTAGGTTTATTCTATAAATCATTTAACACCTTTGTTTCTGTACAGGCCCCAGTTAATGAACATTCCTAGTTTATTAGTGATTGCGGTATTTGTTCTCCATGTTTTTACTAGATACACATAGTTACTGGTACCACCAGAATTGGAACTCTTCACCTGCTGCTAAAGATGAGGATGGAGTGTTTATGTGAGTGTCCTGAGTGCTATGATGTCAATTTATAATTCAACATTCAAATAGATACACACCACTCCTATTAGTTGACATTCTCTATACTATATTCATCCTTACATTTCCCTCATTCTATGACACTCTATTTATCACCCATCTCTAATGTTCTCCTTATTTGTAAGTTCATTCATGCTACCTACCAAAACATTGAGAGTTTGTCCACTGTTCTTGAACTGCTCAGTGAAGGCCACAATTTGGGCAGGTCTTGACAAGTCAACAATATGTAGATGTACATTCTGAATCAGAAAAAGCAAAACATTATCTACAAATCTACTTTATGTCCCATGCTGACGATAGATAACTCTATTCTTCTCTAGAGTAGGTAGAGTATTACAAGAAAGGTGTAAGTAGAACATCTCAAGAACAAAGGCTTACTAAAAGGTATAATATATCACAAGACAGATTAATTAAATCCCATATAATTTTAAATATCCCCAAAGATAGATTACATAATATGATTATCTATCACAATTATTACAATTAACAAAAAATCTATGTAATATTACAAAATCCAAAAGTAACTGACAAGCATAAATCTTCAGCATTGAAATAGAAAACAAAAACCTCTATAATCCAAATTATAACCCAGATGGGTTGAGCCATGAACCCTGATGTCATGTACAAGAAAACCGAGTCATGACCCTGATGACATGTACAGGAAAACTGAGTCATGTTCTCTGCTGTTCTGTACAAGAAAATTGAGTCATGTTCTCTGCTGTTCTGTACAAGAAAATTGAGTCATGTGCCCTGATATCCTTACAAGAAACTTGAGCCCTGAACCCTGCTGATGTCCTGTACAAGAAACTTTAGCCCTGAACCCTGCTGATGTCCTGTACAAGAAACTTGAGCCATGAACCCTGCTGATGTCCTGTACAAGAAACTTGAGCCATGAACCCTGCTGATGTCCTGTACAAGAAACTTGACCCTGAAACCTGCTGATGTCCTGTACAAGAAACTTGAGCCCTGAACCCTGCTAATGTCCTGTACAAGAAACTTAAGCCATGAACCCTGCTAATGTCCTGTACAAGAAACTTGAGCCATGAACCCTGCTGATGTCCTGTACAAGAAACTTGAGCCATGAACCCTGCTGATGTCCTGTACAAGAAACTTAAGCCATGAACCCTGCTAATGTCCTGTACAAGAAACTTGAGCCATGAACCCTGCTAATGTCCTGTACAAGAAACTTAAGCCATGAACCCTGCTAATGTCCTGTACAAGAAACTTGAGCCATGAACCCTGGTAATGTCCTGTACAAGAAACTTAAGCCATGAACCCTGCTAATGTCCTGCACAAGAAACTTGAGCCATGAACCCTGCTGATGTCCTGTACAAGAAACTTGAGCCCTGAACCCTGCTAATGTCATGTACAAGAAACTTAAGCCATGAACCCTGCTAATGTCCTGCACAAGAAACTTAAGCCATGAACCCTGCTAATGTCCTGCACAAGAAACTTGAGCCATGAACCCTGCTGATGTCCTGTACAAGAAACTTGAGCCATGTACCTGATGTCCTGTACAAGAAACTTTAGCCCTGAACCCTGCTGATGTTCTGTATAAGAAACTTGAGCCGTGTACCTGATGTCCTGCACAAGAAACTTCAGCCCTGAACCCTGCTGATGTCCTGTACAAGAAATTTCAGCCCTGAACCCTGCTGATGTTCTGTACAAGAAACTTGAGCCGTGTACCTGATGTTCTGCACAAGAAACTTAAGCCATGTACCCTGATGTCCTGTACAACAAACTTAAGCCATGTACCCTGATGACCTGTACAACAAACTTAAGCCATGTACCCTGATGACCTGTACAACAAACTTAAGCCATGTACCCTGATATCCTGTACAACAAACCTGAGCCAGGTACCCTGATGTCCTGTACAACAAACTTGAGCCATTTTGTCTGAAAATTCATGGAGTTACCCTGCAAATGTTACATGCATTTCATTCACAACTGAAATGTAGAACAACCAGTAAAAAGTAAAATAAGGGACCCTATTTCATGCTTGTGGTGCATGGCCCATATGACGCATGACTCACATTAGTATAGACCAACTGGCACTCAATAGGTATGTAGTCAATGTCACATTGGACAACTTTACTTAAGATATTTTCTGGTACCTATTTTAGTCTGGATCGACATGGCAGCCAAGGTCATTTTCTTCCAAAATTCTATGCCTCCTCTTCTTCTTCTTCTTTAGTCCTGTTCTGCCTTTAAGCATCAGGTTCTGAATAGGTACTGGGTACCTAGATGCTTTGGTATGTGACCAAGATGCCTTGGTATGTGACCCAGATGCCTTGGTATGTAACCCAGATGCCTTGGTATGTGACCTAGATGCCTTGGTATGTGAACTAGATGCTTTGGTATGTGACCCAGATGCTTTGGTATGTGATATGTAGATGCTGGTATCTACAGCCTCAGATATTTCTTCTATCCATCACCTGCATGGTCAAACTCTAGTTCGGTTTCCATTATGTTTAAGTGATAGGGTTCTTAGTGGTGCACTACTTCCTAAATCTGCCTGGAGCAAATTTAAATACATGAACTTCAGGCCATAAACTTCTACAGAAGCACCTAGCCACTATACTACATAACCACTAGAGGCAATGGACATTAACTGAAAACATCACCTCATTTCTAGCCTGTTCCCGGATATCCTTTTGAGCAGCCTCGCCTCTGTCTTTGTTCCTACACACCAAGTGGACTGTCCCTCCTGGGAGAAGATCAGAGGAATGATTACATGAATGGCAACATCGTTATAAATGTTTCAGGAAACTGAGGAACCCTAAAAGGAATGAATTCCTCCCATGTTGGTTCTGGGGCCCCATTTAGGGGGGAAAAGAATAGACTCATTGTTGCCCTAATAAGTATGTCATAAAAGTCGACTAATAGGGGTGTTTTCTTTTAAGTCGGGGTACATCTGCCTGAGAGGCAAGGAACTAGCATTCTGCTAACAAACATGCGAGATCTGTAAAATGGATATACACATAAAACTCAAGATCTGGAATAAGACTTAAGTCCAGAAGTGGATGAACAACAAGAACTCTCTACCTGTTTACAACCAATGATAGAAGAAGAAGAAACTGGTTGAATTCAGCAAAGGCGGAGAAATAGGATGAATGTCTGGGCAACTGGTTGTATCAAAAGTTAAAAGACACCCCCCCCCCCCCAACACATCATAGGGAGAAAAGCCCAGAGAATCACCAAAGAGGCAATGAAACAGGAAACAAATGGACTAAGGAGATGAGGACATCAAAGAGAAACACTGAGACAGATGGCACTGAGAAAGGTGAGAGGCAAGTGAAACAGTGTCATCTCTACATACTGTGCCAACTAAAACAATCATGACATACTATTCAACGCAGCCAAGTTTCATGAGCTTTCTTACTCACATCTAATGATTTTCAACTGGAAACACGAAAAAATAGTTCATGACCCAGTCAGAATTAATTTAAAAAAAATCAATTTTTGAAACTCAACATTTTTATGAAGGCCACTAAAAAAAATGTTTCATGTATTTATCGACATTGTTAAATTCTTTTTTGGAAAGTATGTAAAGATATATGAAGACAGTAATCAATAAACATGCACAGGGTGAAGTAATAACTGGTATACATTCCCCAGTACCACCAAAAAAACACATTTATCAGGGAACTCAAGCCGTGACCCCATGACCCCTATCACTGAGCCCTGCAGGAAACTGATGTCAACTTGGTTTGAAAAAGTCATTTATTTTGCTCAAAGGAAAACCTCCCTAAATGCTAGTTAATGTATTTATATCCTGACCTCCTAAATGTTTGTGTAGGTGTGAAAATAGCCAATAGCATTAACTATGCATCTCTTAAACAGGTCACTATATAAACAATCAGGAAAAGTGACATTTCTGGGGAACTGGACCCAGCTGAAAGTGTCTGTTATACAGTATCTCTGGGCAAAAGAGTTACAAATCATTCATGATATCACACAAAATAAGGAAGTGCAAAGTGAAACGATACTCCACTGGAATAGTTCATTAAGAATTATGAACTAACATCACCACACAAAGCATTTCTATAATTGCTGTCTCCATTTTCAGCAGCCAGCATAGAGTTTCAATACTTATGGTACCAGGTGTAGTATAATTATATGTTTGTCTTGCCTGTCAGAACTGAGTGTCTATCAGATCCTCTGTTCTCACCTGTTTTAATTTGTTTTTTTCTACACAGAAATGATCAGCCCACTTTTGCACGTGTTTTCAACATGCTTCTGAATGGAATTTCAATGTATACTTTGCCATGCATCAGTCCACCACCCAATGGTGCAGACTCAGCCAATCAGTCTGCTTGTTCATTTCCAAATATGACAGTTTATTGTAACTAATTAAGCTAGCATAATCTGCACACAGGAAATGGCAGGCATTGACGTTTTTTTTGGAGTAAAATCATGTTCACAGTTTTTCCCTGGTCTGTTTCCTACTAGTCTGTCACATGGTTCTGTAGTTACACGGTCACAGAACAACAGTGGAATGTAAACTCTATGGACCACTGAATGAACTAATAATGACAGTGAAATTTATATGAGAGGCAAAATTGCTGATACAGACAACTTTTTTCAGGCAAACAAAAGAAGAAGATACTTATATAAAAACTGTCTTTCCTGCATTTCCTTTTATCTATGTTTTGCCAGGCTCCATCAGGGAAGCAAATAGTAGATAAAAACAGGGCACTTTTTGTTAACCTTAAATCTTTGAGTCTCAAACAACCCATGATGTGTTCTCGGCCAGTTAAACCTACTCCTTTCCTCATCTGATATTTTAAAACAGGCAACAAAAATTATAACTCTTGAGCTAGCTTCTGAAGATGGGATCGGAGCACTTATACGAATGTCTCTAATGCTGTGATGTCAGTTTTTAACTCAACAGGATAAAGTAACTAGTCTTGTGTCTTAATCACCCCCCCAACCCCTTTTGCACCCCCATACAGAGCATATGGTAGTTTATAGTCTTGACCAAAGCTGGGGTTTGGTGGGGGGGGGGGGGGGGGGGAGGAATACACAGTGGTACGTAGTACTGGCACTTTTATGCCTAAGCTCCACTAGGAGATGAAAAGCAGAAAAAAGAAGAAATACCTTTTTTTGCTATTGTTAGAGCCACAAACCGACCAATACCACTGTTGGCTCCGGTGATCATGTAACTGCGATGGGCAATGTCAACATCAAGGTCGGATGAGTTAAAATGTTTGCTGGCAGACTGGTATCCACCTCTACACAAAAGATGAAAAGAACAGAATAGTATTAAGTAATAATAATGAGTGTAAATCTGTTAGGAGTATCAACAGTTATAAGACAGAGGAAATGCAGCAATACCGGACACATTCTGAGAACAGATGAACAGAGGATTACAAAACAGGTACTCAAATGGGAAATAGAGGAACTGAGTAAATTAGGACGTCCAAGAGAAACCGTAAGGTGAACGTTGATGAGAGAAGCCAAAGTGGACTGGATTTCATGCATAATATCTAACTGATTGCATAGGATGGAATGGAATGGAGAAATAGGCTGTGAGCCCTATGTGACAGATAATGGAAAAACAGGACAATGAATGAATGAATATCTGTTTGGAAAGGCAAAGAAACAAGAGAAAAGTCTGGACAACTGCTGGTATCAACAGTTATAAGGTCCCTTTTCCATATCTTGAGGCATATAGGGCTAGACTCCATATTTTTATAGACCAATCGGCACAAGATGGGTGATGTGGTCAGCATCATGCTGGCTGCCATTGCTTCCCAGGACTGCTCCTAGTACCCACTCAAGGGTGGGTCGACCTGGGAGTCAATGCCAATTTTTAAAACTCTTCAAGTCTCAAGGAACGCATCATATGTTCATAGATTCCTACCTAGAAGCCCAATGAACGCAAGATGCGCTGATTTTACGTCTCTCTTGACTACCCCTTGCGCCTGTGATGCTAAACCCCCTGGGACTCAAAGAGTTAAATGTCCGGCTCCACCAGGAAGCGAACCCACAACCTTCCGATCCGCATGTGAGGGTCTACTCTCTACGCCATGGTGACTCCCTATCAACAGTTATGGACAAAGAAAATGGCAATATACAGAACACATTATGAGGAGTAACACCATACAGACACTGAAATAGGAAACAAACAGATAATGTGAATATCTGGATCTTCCTACCTGTCTGTTAATGTTTGTGTGTGTGTATGGTCCTGTTTTGCCAGGGTGTTGCAACACAAAAAGGGTCTATGTACTGATCAGTGCATCTTATCATTTCTATGTGCAGATCTAAGCGATCATGTCTGTCAGGATGACAAATACTTATAGTATTGTATCTGTAAAATGCCTCTCAGCTTTTATCGACACTATCGGTTGCTGTGGCTTTTGCTGTTGTTGTTGACAAAGGCTGCTGCCGAAACGTCCGATCGTTTATGTGGCCCCCCCCCACCGAAATCTTCTTAGTCTCAGTCCAGTGGAGTGAAATCGGTTCTCCTTGCAATAACGGCCGCTAGTTTGGACAGTGACGGCCGCTTCGTCGGAGTTCAGTCCCCTGGCTGTAGTGCAATTACGGAGTGGACAAGGCACAAAACAAAGTCAGTTCAACATGCTCGTTTCGGGCGAGACATGATCAGCTGTAATGCGCTGTTTACTGTTCGCGCATGTGGCCTCAGGACAACATCAAACCAGCAGCCGCCAGGATGTCGCTGGTATTTCCGACAGAAAAAGTAGCTCCTGTAAATTGTTGATTCTTTTTTCGGCGACTATAGTGCCACCTCCGAGTGTATCCTCCAAGTGGCTAAACTAGATGGCTAGGACTCACGAGCAGCAGCAACCGCAGCTCCTGCAGCTTCCTCCAATGTATTAGTATTACAGCTGATCATGTCTCGCCCGGAACGAGCATGTTGAACTGACTTTGTTTCGTGCCTTGTCCACTCCGTAATTGCACTGCAGCCAGGGGACTGAACTCCGACTGAGCGGCCGTCGCCGTCCAAGTAGCGACCGTTATTGCAAGCAGAGCTGTGAAATCTAATATTATAATCAGACCATAGTCTGACTGTTACATACATAACCAGCTACGTTCATAAATAACAGAAAAACGGAACTTTTGTGACAACTAACTTGGTGTATTCCCGCAGTCCTTTCACAAACCAAGTAACACTGCGATATATAGACATCTCTAACAGCTCTCTTAATTTCAGAAACGAAAAACTGTAAAACTGCTGCTATATGTAACTTGTCTCATGATCGTCTTCTCTTATGTAACATATACTGCGTTCTTAATGTTGGAGTGGTTTTTCATACAGTGATTATAAATAAATTTATTTTAACACATAACGAGTTAGTTATATTAATTTATATCTTACACTTCTATATTACTTATAATTTAATTATTTACTAACATAAAAGTAGTTTAAAACGAGATTTATATTCAATAATTTTTTTATAATGATGTTAAGCCAGTCCACCTTTCAAACGGATCCGCCCATTTCTGAAAAAACGGCTGCCAGGTTGGCTTTTGTGCACACATAAAAGACGGAGGTTACACTTCGCTCGGAGGAAAAGCAAGACGAACATACAACCAGACTACGGCTGGCCTTATTAGTATTGGAACTCTGCGCTGACTGCTGAGGATGGGGACGGGGGGAGTATGGGAGTGCTGTGATGTCAATTCTGACTCAACTCAACTTACAGACGGAGGTTGAATTAGGAATCGACATCATAGTACTAGGGACACTCCCATAAGCGCTCCGTCCCCATCTTTGGCAGCAAGCGAGGAGTTCCAGTTCCGACGGTACCAAAAACTGATAATAATAGATGTAGGAAGGGAGAGGGTGAATGGGGGGGGGGGTAGAGGTGGGAGGAGATAAGTTAGGGCGATGGGACACAAAGTGTGAGAAAGACAAATGGTGTGGGAGAGAGATGAAGAATAAAGAGAGGGAACGGACAAAGGTAGAGACACGGGAGAGAAAGAAAGAAGGAGAGAACAGACGGAGCTAAAAGAGAGGTAGTATTATGTATGATATTTATAGCGTGTGTTCTTTTGGCATACACACAGTTCAGTCTTCGTATTCCAATGGTGTGGGCGATTATGCTTTTCCACATCTTGTAGTCTTCAACAGCATGCATCGGTTTGTGTGCTGAAACTTTAATGTGCCATGACAAAATCTTGTCAAGAATTTTCTCAGTTTTATAATTATTTTCACAAATACCATTATGCGAGTTGGTAACGGATTGACACCTTTTGGGTCACAGTGTCACAACATTGATGCTGTTCCAACAAGGCACAGTCTAGATAGCATGTTGATAGTGTGCAGTAGGTAGGCATGGGCATTAAGTTTAAATCTCATGGTGGTGAGGAGTGTAACTAGCAAGACCAGCTCGAGTTAAGAAAATTCTTCCTTAACAAGAAATTGGATTTCAGGCAGGCGCGTCACCACCAATAAATCTCAGGTGGGAGTCCTTCGTCTGTTAATACCTGACCTCCTAAAGGGTGGGGACCATTAAGGATTAAGTCTTGTTCAAAGACGGAGCTATAATAATAATAATAATAATAATAATAATAATAATAACATAAGTAATAATAATGACCCAAGAGATCATTTTAATCAGTTTTCCTTAAAAAAACACCACCAAACAAACTGGGAGTCACCATGGGATAGCGTCTAGTCGCTCACCTGAGGATCGGAAGGTCGCGAGTTTAACTTTCGACGGAGCCAGGTCGACCCAGAATTAAATGGGTACCACGTAAAGTCTCGGACAGTAAAGGCTGCCAGAGCGATATTGACCGTATTCCCCCACCCAGTGCATAAAGGTTTTTAGAATATAGGCCTTACCCAATGTGCCCATCACTCCCGAACTCGTGGATAATGGCTCTTTACTCCCTCACCAATAAGTCTATAAAGAAGATGCCAGTACACACCACAAAGTGTTGGGGAAAAAATTATGCTGAAGCAAAAGGAGACGGTCTGTGTACCTTTGAGTACCGCTAGAAAAATAATCCCTGAATATAATAATATATTTTGGAAAGATATAAAACTGAATAAAAATTAAATCAGTGAGCTTCACAATATAACAAACATAAGCGAAAAGTGGACGTTGTGGTACAGAGCCTTCATCAGCACAAACATAAATCAAACAAAACAACACCAGTACACACAAAGTAATAATATATTTGAAATACAATGAAATGTATAAACAAATACTAAATGGTAAAGTCGGAAGATGTGGACCAGCGTCATTGCAACGGTTATAAACCATAAGTCCTCTGTCATCGGTACGGACAGCTGATAAGAAAATGTACGCCTGTGTAGCCGTCCGCATGTAACTTCGTAGCTACAGCGACGTTCCCTGGTACCCATTTCCTAAGGGCTGGGTGAACCCCGGGAACCGCCCGGTTTCGAACACCAACCGTGGCTGCAGCGAGTCGCAGCTGGATTTGAAAGCGAGCCTCCTATCTGCGCTAACGCGGATCCCTATACTACCTATGTAGTAAGTAGTAGTAATTTTCTAAATTATCCTGTTCAACCCTCAGGGTTTTAAATTGGATTTATAGTGCTTATTGAGTTCTTATAGTACATATTTGTTATTTTATATTTATATATCGTGAAATTATTTAAATAAGACAGATATGTAATTTGTATTGTTTCACATATTGCTTTGATTTAGGTTGTGATTACAATATAAACTGTGCTTTGAATAATTAGACAATCTAACTAACATTGCGTAATTAACCTGGTGGATTTATTATTCACTTAGTGTAATATCTGATTAATCTACTCGATTTTAACTTTTCGGTTTAAATTTCTCAAACATAGCTTGGGCATTCTTAACTACTTATGGACCGTACAGCATAGAGTGAGAAGATCAGGAACAAAATAGAAATAAAGGCGAAAATTATTGGAGAACGGACAAAAAGTGCAGGAGAAGAAATATGATAGATGCATACGGTAGAAACAATGGGATTATGAAATCCATCGTCCAATTAGTATAAGACGTTTTTCAACGTGAGTGTGCTTTGCTAGTCCCACTCGCCACTGCCATGGGCGGCGATTCCCGGTCTTCCATTTAACGCAATATAACAACGGAAAGACGGACAGGTACCAGCAACTGTCAGCGAATATTTGGTTGCCTTGCGACAGGGCACCTGGCAAACTGGCAACACGCCTTTCCACAACATGGATTCTCGTTTGTGTCTGTCTTGGTGAAACCCGACCAGCAACTAACATATGAAAACTTTATTATATCAAATTTTAGTAATTTTACCATACAGCTACTTTGAAAATGGTAAATCATTTACTAAATGTATATCCATATAAACAACCCCTTTCTTTATACAAGTTATTCTATCTGCTATAGACAGTGACTGATTCAGTGACTGAATAAATAACAACTAATAAATCATAATCACTAACTAATCTAATAAGTAAAATTACTAACTAATATATCAGGGAACGAAGAACATCCCTGGTTCAAAACTAATTGGGCTGCTTTGATAATATGGCAAGCAAGTATCTTTCTTGTTAAAAAAAAAATACTGACTAATGATTGAAGAATTGACATAACACACCGGACATACCCATAGATGCTCAGTCTCTCAAAGCAAATATCTTAAGGTGTAGATGCTAACTGTTCCAGTAGCACACTTATTATATTATACACACATCATTCTCTTCCTCTAGTTGCCTGATTCAGACATAATTCCTCTTTCAGACATTCTTAGACATGTTATTTCGTCTAACCTGGTGTCTTCTATCAGTAGTCATTCATAAATGACATGGTCTTCAGAAGTTCTCACAGTACAAGAATTCCTGTAGCTGTGGCTTTTGTAGCCAGAAAATCCGCTCTTATTTCCTTGCACTACTGCATATCCTGGACAGTATATCCACGTCATCCCCTGCAGTGTTGACATACTGATGCGTGGTATGCACTCATGCCACATTTGTCCATTTGGAACCCTCAGCAGTATTGACTGAGAATTGGACAATAATTCCACTGGTAACTTTACCTTCTGCTGTCCACCTCAGAGCTGCAGTGATTGCCTCCACCTCCATCCTCATGCTTGAAGATTGTAGATTAAAAAACAAAATAATTTTGTTCTACCAAAATCTTTTCTTTTACTCTAGCAGAAATTCCCCAGCCAGATCTTACAGCTTGATGAACAGAACCATCTGCATACACTATTGCATCCTTTAGCCCAATGTTTTCATCTATCAGTTGTACTTAAATTTTGCTATTCAGTTACACCACTCTCTACATTCTCCTCCTAATGTAATAATGACCTGATGGAAACTGCTGTTGTTGAGTGTTAGTGCCGACCCATTCCTGCTCCCTAAGTAGAAGTGGCAAGGACCTAAGAAAATGCTTCCTCTTATTAGGATTTCTACTTATCCAAACAGCACACACAATAGAGAAAATCGCTGGGACTAAGCTGGCCATGTCGACTTAACCGAAATTCGACTGATGCGAGTTCGACTTAAGTGGACTCGACTGTATATGGTATTACAATTCCTAGGCCGAAATCAATTACTGACAGGGCCAAATGGTTGAACAATAAGACCAATAGCCTCTATTTCATGTGTGTCACCACCATTGTCTTCAGCACTGCCGGACCATGCTTGCAATGGATCACAGTCTGCTCTATGTGATATCTGTAGGATAGACTGCGATCAAACGTCAAACCTAAGTATTTCAACCTATCTCTTCTTTCAGCATTTATACCCTTCATGGCTATGCCTCTCCACGACACTTAACGACAAAAGTGGTTTATGATGATGATTGATATGCTGTGCAGGTCTTCCTTTCCATTGCGGTTATTTAACTCTTTCAGTCCCAAGGGGTATTAAAAGGGATGTAAAAGTGTATCTTGCATTCATTGGGCTTCTAGGTAAGAACCTGTGAAAGTATGATGCGTTTTTTGGGACTGAAAGAGTTAAGGAGCACTACACAACACTGGTCTTCTTGTAAAGGAATCATCTTAACAAACTGCCCCAATTGCCAGTCAATTGATCTAAATAAATATGAGCAGCATCATATGCCTACTGTTCCACATTGGACCTTTGTTTAATGAACTAAGTTGTAAATTAGTCTGACTTCTAGCTTAGGGAATGGGGAGTAGGAGCACTGGGGAGAATAATAGACTGGTCAACATTCTCGGAGGGATGTGATCAAAATCATGCTCTGCCTTTACTTTTCCTGCTACCTGTGTTGCGCTTGTTTGACCTGGCAACCAAGGTCAGTTATTACAAATATCTATCACAATGCAGATTCAAACCCTAGGCCTTCAGGCTGACAGCTACTGTGCTGCCAATTTTCCTAGTCTCAGCATTAGCAAACTTTAAAATACGTCAATTGTTTTCCTAACCATCTGTGGCAAGACTAAATCTGGCCATGTTATTCCTCAGATGCAATTTATGCTGCTGTTTAGCCGGCAGGGAAAACTGCGGCTACAGAAATGGTTTGTGGCTCACCAAGAGAAAACAAAGAAGAAAATAACCCGAGACTTAATCACGCTCGTTTTGTCGCGCAAACCGAAGATGTGCAGCTTCTTGGAGTATAAGGATTACAAGATTGTCTACAAAAGGTAACTTTAAATTGCAAAAAAAAAAAAAAAAAGGTAGCAGCTTGAACTTGTTTGTAAATGAGAACACATTTATTTATTTTGTCTGTAAAAAAAAACAGCTTTTATTTATTTGTAAATGAGAACAGCTGTGATTTGTCTATAAAAAGAGAACAGCTTTGAGTTGTTTATAACAGAAAACAGCTTTGATTTGTCTATAAAAGAGATCAGTTTTGATTTGTCTGTAAAAAAGATCAGTTTTGATTTGTCTTTAAAAGAAAACAGCTTTTATTTATCTCTAACTGAGAACAGATGTGATTTGTCTATAAAAAGAGAACAGCTTTGATTTGTCTGTAAAAGAGAACAGCTTTGCTTTGTTTATAAAAGAGAACAGCTTTGATTTGTTTATAAAAGAGAACAGCTTTGATTTGTTTATAAAAAAGAACAGCTTTGATTTGTTTATAAAAGAGAACAGCTTTGATTTGTTTATGAAAGAGAACAGCTTTGATTTGTCTATAAAAGAGAACAGCTTTGATTTGTCTTTAAAAGATGAAAATCATGGATGGGCCATGCCGGGGATATTATTCAGCAGATGTGTTAACTTGAGGACATAGAATATGGTGAGGAATGGGTACAGGTACCAACAGAGTGCTGTAGGACCTTTTCTGTTTACATCCGCCTAGACAAAAAATGCAGTGTTTGACCACTATTGAGGCAGAAGTGCAGGCTTTGATTTTTTTAGAATTGTCTACAGGGGGATGCTGTCATTTACACAGATGGATCGATCTGTGGTTCACAGTGTGAGAAGCTCTCAGGCTTTTTATGGCTCAGGCTGGAGTTATAATTGTGAATCAAGATTCTGGTGCAATGACCACAAGTAGTCTGACTATGGAGATCATGGCAGTGACCAAAGCAATAACATGGCTGGAGACACAGACCTTTTCCTATGCATGCTTTCTCAATGACAATGAATATGCTGAGGAAGATAGAGAAGGGCTGGATCTGAAGACAGTGGCTGGAGTCTCTAAAGTGGTCCGGGCTGACACATATCAGTTTCATATTTCTGTCAGGGCATGCAGGCGTGCAAGGAAATCAGCAAGCTGATCGGCTTGCAGGTAAAGCTACTGTGGAGGGCGGACGAGATAACAGCTTTGATTTGTCTTATCTTTAGCAGCCAGTGAAGTGTCCCAGTACAACAGATGGTACCAGGAGCTGTTAGTTTTAATGTCCATCATTTATTTAGTTATGATTTCTCACAGGTTTAATAATCTGGCAATTTTTTTCATTCCAGATATGCCAGCTTGTACTTTTGCTGTGCTATAGAGAATGATGACAATGAACTACTGACCCTTGAACTGATCCACCGCTATGTGGAGCTGCTTGACAAGTACTTTGGAAGTGTAAGTGTTTGTAATATATTTTTCCTTTATTGTGGCTGATTGTTTGTTGGTGAACATGCTTGACAAGTACTTTGGAAGTGTAAATTATTTTTCTTTCATTGCTGCTGAGTGTTTGTCCGTGAACATGCTTGACAAGTACTGTGGAAGTGTTTGTAAAATATTTTTTCTTTATTGCGGCCGATTGTTTGTTGGTGAATGTGCGGTTACTGGTACCATCGGAATTGGAACTCTTTGCTTGCTGCTGAAGATGAGGACTGAGCACTTATGCGAGTGTCCCGAGTGGTGTATTCAACACAGCCCTTTTCGGGGGCTTGTACAATTGGCACAAATGGATGATCATGTGCAAGCTAGCTGCATATATCTTCCTCCTGTCTTCCTTGGATTCTCTTGTTGCATTTTTCTTCTTCTTGTCTTCCTCCAGTTACCTCTTTAGTGTGCTGGGGGAAGATGTGAGGATCTTATATGTGCTCTTTCTAATATGTGTTGCCGAAGTTGATCTTCATTTCTTTAAGGCTTTACTTGGTGCTGTCTGTATGGTCTCGGTCTCCCCTTTGCTGTGTGTTCATTACATTTCTTATGTGGCTCCTTGTGGTAGTTGGTAAGACATATTTTCCCACATTTAAAGCCAGTATTCCCCCCTCCCCCCCTCCTTAATTCCCTGTGAACATGCCACAAACATTTGACTTGATCTGTAGGTGTGTGAGCTGGACATCATCTTTAACTTTGAGAAAGCCTATTTCATGTTGGATGAGTTTCTCATGGTTGGGGAAGTTCAGGAGACCAGCAAGAAGAATGTGCTCAAGGCAATAGCTGCCCAGGACTTGATGCAGGAGGTAGGTGTTTGCTTGCAATGTTAATTTATTTATAGTAAATATAATGCTAATGTAAAGATAAATGGGTACATCAGGAAGAGAAAAGATCAGAGAATCACTGTGCAGGCACTTAAGTGAGAAATAAATGGATGTAAGGAGTGTTGAGCTAAGAACTGGCATCACAACACTTGGGGCATTCCAGTAAGTGCTCTATCCTTAACTTCAGCAGCCAGTGAAGAATTCAGTTTCTGATGGTGTTAGTAACAGTTTGATTATATGTCTTCCCCGTGTGGGTTCCGGGGCCCCATTGTGGGAAAAACAAGAATAGACCCACTGCCTCCCCAAAAGCATGTCGTAAGAGTCGACTAATTGGTTAGCTTCCTTTGAAGTCGGAGTGCATCTGCCAGAGAGGCAAGGAACCAACAGTCTGTATTCAAGAGAATGAGATCTGTAAAACACTCAGGTTCTGGAGCAGGACTGCAGTTCATTAGTGGACGAGCAACCAGAACTTTCCACCAGAGTGTGCAGCTGGTGAACGCGAAGAAGAAGAAGATTATACGTCTGTCTTGCCTTTCCTCTGATCGTCGACCACATTTCATGGTCACTCCTAGATGTACGATCTCTCCAAGCCATAATGATCTGTTTGGGTCTCCGCATAGTTCACTTGCTCTCAAAGGGCCTTGACCACATCCAGCTTATCATGCATAAATTCACCATTCATTGGTGCAGAACCAGCCAGTCTGCGTGTTCATTTCCCAATACTCCTGCATGACCAGGAGAAAATATCAGCAGAACACTAACTACCAAGGATTGAGAAAACAAGGTCAAGAAAGGGAAACCCTAAGATGAACGTTTTGGAGAGAGGCTAAAGATGCCGAACTGGGTTCTATTCATTAAACGGATTGCACTGGATAGAATGGGAGACTAAACTATAAGCCCTATGTGATGTAAAACAACAGATGCAGGTGATGATAATGAACGACCCTTTTTGTGTCAGTAGCACATCTAGCTCATATTTTTATTGATCAGTCGGCACTCGGTGGACATCAGACAAATTGCTATATAGAAACAACTAAATGACGATTATTATATAACATACCCAGTAATGTATTTATATAACATAATCATTAATTAACAGAGGCCTCTGAGTGTCTAGCTCACACATGATGTAATTAAAATACCAGTCAAATAGGGAACATAAGTAATAAAAAGTAAAGACCCCCTTTCACGCCTTTAATCGCATCGGGCATATGAAAAAAGCACCCATATTTTTACAGACCATTCGGCACTAGGTGGGTAATGTGGTCAGCATTACACCGGATGTCTTTACTTCCCCAGGACATACATCCTGGTACCCATTCCAGGCTGGGTCGACCCGCAACACCCCAATCCGTCCAGCGCTGGAATTACAAATTGGACTCACAACGCCTAAGCCACCGACAGTAGGGAACTTACATAAGTATAAACTGTTGAAGCATGGACTAGCCTTGAATGAAGAACAGTGGATTGTTGTAATCAGAATTATGCAAGTCAGTGCTAATCAAAATTAATACAGACAGTTCTTTTGTACTGGATGTGTTTGAACATATACCTTTTATAAATTATAAATAATTGGAAGTGGAGGTGAGCGACCCTGGGTAGTTCCAATTTATTCAGAATGTCATTCTGCCAGCCTAGATAATAGAGAGGAAGGAAAAACTAAGCCTGTTAAGCCCAGGAAATAATAAATGGTTGTTATAATTATAAACACACTGCAGGAATTACTACACTTTTGCTGTATATATTGAGTTTGAAGGACGCTTAGTTAGATCAAAGTTATAGAAGAGAGAGTGTCTGTGAGTTAGGAAATGTGGGTGTCACAGCCTGTTGACTGGCACAGTCTGCAAGATCAAAAGATGAATAGGACAGAAAATGTAACTCACAGGAAAACCCAAATTCAGTTATAAAGACTTTGTCAGCACACAAAGACACAGAAGGCAGCTAAAAAACCTTTATCAGCCAAGACACAGAAAGTGAATAGAAAGACTTATTAGCTTATAAAGACACACAGGGCATCTAGAAAGATGTCTCTTACAAAGAGGCAGAAGGTGGCTGTACGAATACATATGGCAAGAGAAGCTTTCATAATACTAGGAAATTTGTGGAGGTCAGCAGAAATTAAAACCAATACTAAACTTTAAAATTGTCAAATCCGTACTGCGGTATGGGGTGGAAACATGGAGAACAACTACGGCAGTTTATAATAAACTACAAACATTCATTAACTGATACCTGTGCAGAATAGAGGGAATTGAATGATATGATAGAATCACTAATGTAGAACCTTGGGAGAGAACTAAACAAGTTCCAGTGGACCAATGGGTGAAGAAAGACGCTGGCGATAGGACACATGTTGATAAAACCTGAAAACAATACAGCTAGAATGTCTTTGCACTGGAACCCACAGGGGCATAGAAATAAAGGAAGACCAAAAAACTCATGGAGAAGGGGAGGACATAGGGAGAGCTGCATGCGATAGCGAAGGTTAGAACGACTTGACGTGTTGGTTGAGGGCCTGTGTGCCAGTAAGGGATAGAAAGGCAGAAGAAGACGAAGAAGGTGGCTAGAAAGTATTCTATCAGCCTAATAAAACACAGTATGCTACAGCTACATAAGAGACCCCTAATGACATTCAGAATCTAGGCATTTTTTTGTTATAAATAATTATTTACTCCGTTAGGGAGCAGCTGGCCGACTGATTAAAAACTCTGTGCTCTCAAGCTGGAGACCCAGGTCGGAATCCTCATCATTGGGGATTTTCTTTCTGTTGGGAGCAAAAACAAAATCCTAACCTGCACAGTCGATGGCAGCAGCACTTTGCTTGTGGCCCTAAACCCTCAGGCTGAAAGACTCCTTCTACAGTTTTTTTTTCTTCTAGATATTTATAATATGCATATTGTCATATGAATATAACATGCTTATTGATAAAATACAACTGCAGTGTGAAAGACGGGTGTTTGAAAGGGCTGAATATAAGACGGGCCTGCGTGCCCTAAACATTGTGGCCCTAAACCTTCAGGCTGAGACTTCCCTTCCTTCTACACTTCTTCTCTCCTAGTTTTTGTTTCTTCTTGATATTTCTAATAGGCATATTATCATATGAATATAACGTGCTTATTGATAAAATACAACTGCAGTGTGAAAGACGGGTGTTTGAAAGGGCTGAATGTGAGACAGGCCTGCATGCCCAATTTGTGATCCTGTGAAAATGAAGTTTGTTCGTGCTTTCGTACACCACAAAAGTGGTAAATAAAGGCAGTAATGGCAGAAAGAAAGAAAATGCCATTTTATTATTTTTGAACTGATAACTTTTTTATCGTCTGTTTAATTTACTGTGTTACATTTTTTCCTTTCTCCAATCAGGAAGAAACTCCACAGGGATTTTTTGAAGACCATGGTTTGGGCTAGAGTGATACCACTGCCTCGACTGTCCATGACATATATAACTGACTCGTGACACGCTATGATTGCCTATGGCTTATTTATAAATTGTGATGAATTTTGACCAGTTGTTATTACTGAATTGTGTTTTACCAATTTCAGTACTAAACAGTTGTTACTTTAACTCTTTATATAGTAGAGAGCAGCGCCTAAAAGCACTAAAATGCCCCGTTTTTCTGTGAATAAGAAAATATGGTTTCCCAAATTTTTAAGTTTAAAACTGGGGAGTGGTCTTATACACAGAATGCGTTTAAATATTTATTTCTTATTTCTTAATTTGAGCTTAAAAAATAGGGGTCATCGTCTACATGGGGACACTCTTCTACATGGGGACATTCTTCTACATGGGGACATTCTTCTACATGGGGACATTCTTCTACATGGGGACATTTTATACACATGGGCCACGACCGGCAGTAGCTGACAGGCCGTGCTGCTGACGTCACCGGGTCGGGCTAACGATGCGTTAACGCAGTGGTTCTCAAACAAGAAATAAACTATTGTCGACAGTGGCGAGGGAAGACAACTTAGATTTTAACTTTTAAGTATCTACATGCTTTCTTTAATAATTTTACAATTTTTAGCCGATTTTTCTTGATTATTGCTGCGGCACCCCTGGCTTACGCTCACGGCACCCTGCGGTGCCTCGGCACCCAGTTTGAGAACCGCTGATTTAACGCATCGTTAGCCCGACCGGTGACGTCAGCAGCACGGCTCGTCAGCTGGAGCCGGTCGTGCATGGGCCTGATGCGTTTAACAAAGAAAAAAGAGAGAGAGAGAGACTGTGAGACAGAAATAAACTAACAATTCAGATACAAAGGTACAGATAGAGATTTAAACAAAAATACCAAAGATACAGATAACATCTGTCTGTGATAGAAGACAGCAAGAACATTATTTTAGCTTTTGGGAACACAAAGAAATGTGTGGTCAGTGGTTTGGTACCAGAAGAGTTAATTGAAACAAGTTTTTAACTTTTTCATTACTAAGCAGATATAACATTAACTCTTTCTGTTCCTCCTCTTTTGGTCACCTGAAATATGTTGTCTGTATCAGCAATTTTTGTCTCTCATACACATTTCATTGTCTTCTTTTTTTTTTAGTTCAATCAGTGTGGTCTGTAGAGTTTACTTTCCACCGTTGTTCTTTTTGACCAAAAGGTTTGCCTTAATATGTTATAATCAGTGCTGTCGTGGAGTATGTGTTTTGCTGTCAGCGGCAACTTTCCACATGTGCACATGATTGATACACCTGTCTTAGATTGTGTATACATGTGACTGCAACTGGTTGTGCCTTGGGTCCAAGGTACATTCTGTTCTTAAAAAAAACAGTTGCTTTAAATAATCAATGTTTGCATCTGAAGAGTTACATTAGAAGCACAGAGGAATAGGAAGAGTTAAAGTAAGAATTGTTGGCTGAGTGTAACAGTTGGACAGGGCACAAGGTGTTCAGCAAAGTATAAAATGAAAGTTGAAAGCAACATACTCCTTGTATTGTTTCAGAGGACCTCTTTTTGGGAAAAACTGCCCCCCTCCCCACCCCACAAGCATATCTTAAGAGATGACCAATCAGGAGTTTGCTGAAATTGGAGGTGTTGAGCCGAAAGAAGCAGATATCATAGCCTTGCTGTAAACCACAACGCTATGGGCCAGCAGCTTTGTTTTTTTAAAAGGGTGAATGTAGATGAAGAAAACAACAGACTCATGAGGAGTTAGCACTGAATGAGTTAACATTGTGGTCAGTTGTGATTTAAAAACTTTAACATTTTATAAAATGAATCAAATCATTTGAAGTATATTCAGGTTTTTGACATTTACTATCATATTAATTTATATTTTATAAGTTTTTGACATTACTACTACAGACCTAAAGTAACGGTTTGTGATGTTTCATGACATTTATGGGGACATTTTCCAGATGTTTCATGACATTAATGGTGACATTTTCTAGATGTTTCATGACATTTATGGGGACACTTTCTGGATGTTTCATAACATTTATAGGGACATTTTCTGGATGTTTCATGACATTTTCTGGATGTTTCATGACATTTATAGGGACATTTTCTAGATGTTTCATGACATTTATAGGGACATTTTCAGGATGTTTCATGACATTAATGGTGACATTTTCTAGATGTTTCATGACATTAATGGTGACATTTTCTAGATGTTTCATGACATTAATGGTGACATTTTCTGGATGTTTCATGACATTTATAGGGACATTTTCTGGATGTTTCATGACATTTATAGGGACATTTTCTGGATGTTTCATGACATTTATAGGGACATTTTCTGGATGTTTCATGACATTTATAGGGACATTTTCTGGATGTTTCATGACATTTATAGGGACATTTTCTGGATGTTTCATGACATTAATGGTGACATTTTCTAGATGTTTCATGACATTTATAGGGACATTTTCTGGATGTTTCATGACATTTATAGGGACATTTTCTAGATGTTTCATGACATTTATAGGGACATTTTCTGGATGTTTCATGACATTAATGGTGACATTTTCAAATCCTAGCCAGTCTGAATGTGCTGTGCTAAATCATGATTTTTATTGTTTTAACATGCTTCACTGTGGATGTGAAGTTACAGTACGTGTCTTGCACACCCTCATAATTTCAGGGTTTTGAAATTAGAACTCTTTCTTACTGGTTAATGATAATTAAGAAAAAGAGCTTTTTCTTACTAGTGAATGAAACTTGTTAGAGAAGCAGAGCTCTTTCTTACTAGCGAATGAAAACTCTTTCTTACTAGTGAATGAAAGTTATTAGAGAAGGAGAGATCTTTATTAATAGCGAATGAAAATTATTAGAGACGGAGAGCTCTTTCTTACTAGCGAATGAAAATTATTAGAGACGGAGAGCTCTTTCTTACTAGCGAATGAGAATTATTAGAGAAGGAGAGCTCTTTCTTACTAGCGAATGAAAATTATTAGAGAAGGAAAGATCTTTCTTAGTAGCAAATGAAAACTCTTTCTTACTAGCGAATGAAAATTATTAGAGAAGGAGAGCTCTTTCTTACTAGCGAATGAAAATTATTAGAGAAGGAGAGCTCTTTCTTACTAGCAAATGAAAATTATTAGAGAAGGAGAGATCTTTCTTACTAGCGAATGAAAATTATTAGAGACGGAGAGCTCTTTCTTACTAGCGAATGAAAATTATTAGAGACGGAGAGCTCTTTCTTACTAGCGAATGAGAATTATTAGAGAAGGAGAGCTCTTTCTTACTAGTGAATGAAAATTATTAGAGAAGGAGAGATCTTTCTTACTAGCAAATGAAAACTCTTTCTTACTAGCGAATGAAAATTATTAGAGAAGGAGAGCTCTTTCTTACTAGCGAATGAAAATTATTAGAGAAGGAGAGCTCTTTCTTACTAGCAAATGAAAATTTTAGAGAAGGAGAGCTCTTTCTTACTAGCAAATGAAAATTATTAGAGAAGGAGAGATCTTTCTTACTAAGAAATGAAAATTATTAGAGAAAGAGAGCTCTTTTTTTACTAGTGAATGAAAGTTATTATGGAAATTATTCATATTCTTATAATTTATTAATCGTAAAATTAATATATTACCTATAGTCATTGAAGAATCAAAATATTTGGCTTGTTTATGAGACAAACAGATTGTGTCTTTTTCTGAACTATATGTTTTGATGTTTATACAATTTACACAAGCGACACTTTTCAGTTGTCAAAAGAGAATTTATTAAATATGTAGTGGTGTTTGTTAGCTTTCCTAATGTATGATACATTTTATTGCCAAAGTATAATTTTTGTATGTGGGTGTATGACATGCTATGTTGTATTTTCAGTACTTTGCAACATAACACATTTTACAGGAGATTGCAATAATAAAAAAAAAAAAAAAAAAAAAAAAAAACAGGCAAAAACTGCATTTTATCAATTTAAAAACCTCTTTTGCAATGAATCCCTGTCATTGGAGGTTAGAAAAATAATGTGTGCATGTAAATAGAACCAAAATCAACACGTCCGAATTGGGGACAATTATTTAACAAGGAAAAAACCTACAGAAATGTTTCACATATTCATGAAAATATAACAAAGCCGGCAATCCTATTTTGAACTAAGCAGACAGCTTAGCCAGAACACAACTGAGAAAGTCAACATTTATGTTGTAAATAAGTGAGCAGCGCTGACAGAGAAGTCTGGTGATCTCTCTGTCAAAACTCTACACCCAAAGTATAGAAGAGGATTGACTAAAAAAGTTTTGTTACTATAAAATGAATTTTTAAAAAGAAGGGGAAAAAAAATGTAGAATGTATTGAATGTCTGCTAAAATCTTGGGTCTGTTTTATAATTGAAGTTCAGAAAATTGATCCGGTGTATGAAAATTCAACTGCCATGACAAAGTCGAATGTAATACGGAAGTGTAATTATACCTTCCGCAAGAATCAGACTAAATATCTCTTGCTTTGTCTGTTATCTGGAATGAGTCTGAAAGAGGCACACTTACCATAGTGTCATGTTGCTTGGCACAATTCCTTGTAAAAACAAACCATTCCATCCTCGTGTAGGGGAAAGCAAAAGACACAGGAAATCTCAGATGATAAGTACGTTGATGTACAGCTATGGCATTGCTGCACTTATATCAGCTGATGTTGATATGTAACATTGGAAGAACTTTATTATGATTGTATGACCACTCTAACAATCCATTGATTATGGCAAGTCTGAAGCTGCATATTGATTGTGGGAAATCATCTAAAGAAGAACTTAGAAAAACTGTCAGACTCCTGAAGGATGGAAAATCTGCTGGTATAGATAGTATTGCGTCCGTGGCTAAGGCGTTGCGAGTCCGACTCGTGAGCCAGCATACCGCGATCGAAACCCACTGCTGGCTGCGTGGATTTTTGTCGTGGTATGGGACGTCGCAGGTCGACCCAGCCTAAAATGGGTACCAGGATGGGCTGTCCTGGGATAGTAAAGACAGCC